TAAGCTCTTCTTACTGTCGCCAAGCCGTACATGGATAACCGTCAAATGATAACCACATGGTCCCGGGGAGGTGACTCCCACACGAAAGGGGCAGGGATGCTCGTCGTCTCGCTTAGAGGTGTAAATTTCGGATTTTGGTCTCACTTAGGGAGTTCTGGGCAAAACGCCATTATATTTAGCCGTAAACTTAAGATCTCTTTTAGGGTTTAATTCGTTTTATCTAAAGGTTGGGCCACGCCCAGATTGGTCTCCTTTGGAGGTTTAATTCAAAATGTCCGACGAGCATTCCCGCCCCTTTCATATGGGAGTCTCCCCCGGGAGCATGGAAAACAATTACAAGAGGTACCTGTGTGAGAAAAACTTGAAAAAACCCTCCTCGCGTGCCAGTTTAATATCCTTTGAATTTCACTCATTACTGTCATTTACATGGACCCTCACTCGCCCAACGAATTAATTGCAACCAGGAGCCCATTGCAACAAAATATTGTTTTCCCCATCCTCGGAGACCCAGGGGCAGCTAGACGGGACGATAGAATGTTCGTGGTGAAAGTTTAGTGTTATTATAAGATCGAGACGATGTTAAGTAAACTTTCGCCACGAACATTCTATCATCCCGAATAGCTGCCCCTGGGTCTCCGAGAATGTGTTTTCTCATACTCAGAGATGATATCAGTTTCCTTTTCTTTCTTTCTTTATTTTTCTTTTTATGTTTTTTTTTATTTCGATATTATTGATTTTAATACCCTGCGAGCAGTGGTTTCTCCAGGCCGGACGGTTCGTAGCGCAGCGTCCGGCCTGGAGAAACCACTGCATGCTAGCAGGGTATAATTTTTATAAACATTGTTAAATTATTATCGTTTTCAGTGTGTTCTATTTACTACAAAAGCCGAGGAGGGTCTTCCGACTGCCGACTTCAAACTTCAGACTGCAGACTTGACAAAGTTCGAACTCCGGATTTCTGATTTCTGACCGTTGAGACTCAATGCTGCATGGTTAGACTTTTGACCTCCCACTTCCCACTTCCCACTTCCGACTTCCAACTTCCGACTTCCGATTTCCAACTTCCGACTTACCACTTCCAACTTCCCACCTCCGACTTGAACTCTTCTGTCGGGCTCGATTGCCGCTCGATCCGCCACGCTGGTATTAATGCTTAAGGTCAAGGCTCAGTAGAAAGAACGGCTGTACCGTTCTAGCCACAAAAGAGAACAACTAAAGTTGCTCTTGTAAAAGCAACTAAGCACAAAGCCAATCAGGCAACTGATGAGGTTCGCTTGGGGAACCGAAACCATGGTCTTGCCGGATCACAAAGTGGCAACAGTGATAACAAAACAGTCCAAACACTGTTAAGCTTATTATATAAAAACCTATCAGCCAAGGAAAGAAATACGCGCTCCAGTCAAAAGACTCACATTTTCTTTACAAAAACACTAAGCTGGATTCTACTGATCACAATGCATTCTCCATAGTTGATTTCATTTTAAGCTGCACTTCAATCTTATCACTTTGGATCCGTAAATCGCTATCCGTGATAATTTAACATCCTGCAAAGACAACTAACGAGCTTGGCCCAGCGTGATAACAGCGTAAAAACAGTCACATAGTTATTCAGGTCAAGAAGGCACTTTGGAGAAAGTTAGAGCCCTTACTCGGCCTTAATAAAAAGCTTTAACGAACATGCTCTTGCATCAGAGGGGAAATCCGGCCGACCAGAAACAAAAACCATAGTAAATCGATATGTGTGCCATGACCTCTCAATGTGAAATAGGCGACTTAGAACCTTCTAGAGATTAATCTACCCAGCAGAAGGGAAAAAAAACGTTTTTGGAACAAGCAGCATTTTAGCATAAGGTAAAAGTCGTGTAGGCCTATATCACCGCCTTTTATTGCTACGGAAGTTGGAATTTGGAAATCAGAAGTCGGAAGTTGGAAGTTGGAAGTCGGAAGACCCTCCTCGGCTTTCGTAATTTACGTATTATTTTTTGTGAAACTTATTTCATTTTTTTCATGTTCCAGGATGTTGGAAGGTGACAAGATAACGGCTTGAGTCAAACGACATTGTACTAACTTGTCTTGAAATTTCAAGGTGTTGCAGTGAATCAATCTTAATGAAAGTTTCAGACATTATTTTATACATTATGAAGATTATGTGAAGAGATTTTTAAAAAATTCGTTCGAGTCGTTTCAGAGATATACAGAAAAGCGCTAAAGGTCCAAATTTTGAATGAAGTTGCACTTATACAGGTGGTGAGAAAACGGGTTAGTTTTTTAGATCGCAAGAATGAAAAAACACCAAAATTTCCTAGCATCGAAATATGATATTAAGCAGCATCCTGAGTCATTTATAACGTTTTTTAAAAATAATCTATCACGGCTATTGAAAATTTAGGTTTGAAATATATTTTCGTTTTATTCGAATTCAAACATACAGAATTTTTTACTTCTTACGGAGGTTATTTGCTAAACACCAAACTTTAAGTTCCTAGTGTTGGATTTTCAGTAGCTGGTCTAGATCGCGCAAAATTAGGCTTACTGGCTTATTGGCTTACTGTAGTTTGCGAAATTAGGCGTTTATCAATTTCAAAGTTTTTTGTTTATTGTTGTCATAGTAATATCGATTTTCCTAAAACCTACATTGTGACAAATTTCAATCTATGGTCAATCATTGGTCAAAATTTTATAGCGATCAGACAAGGATGAAATCACTTTTAAAGCGATTGAAAAATACCGGTATGGCCTCTGAAAAACTATATCGAAACACCTTTAAGACGAAACATCAAATTGACTGGGACTCTGCGACATGTAGAACGTATTCTACAGACTACTATCAACGTCTTACTTTAGAAAGCTGGTTTACTAACTTAGAACAAACGCCACTGAATCGTAGCCAACAGTTACCAGCGCCGTACAAACGACTTATTGACGAGATCCAGCAAAACTAACTACGAGAGAACGACTGGAGAACTGACAATTTGACTAACACACAATAGACGACTGTTTAACTGTGACAATAGACGGATCATCCTCAGAGACAAGTTTTCTGGCACCAATCAGAAGGCAGACCGGCGGCGACCGTTTGGAACTGGTCTGGTAAGACATTGTCCCCAGGGGCTCTTCTCGCCCTTCTTTACTTTTCTTCGTTCCATATATATTTTTCCGCCCGTTTAGACTTTCCCTCGTCCCCACTATCTGCCCCTGGGTCTCCGAGGATGTAGACGGATCGAAACGCACCAATTACTGATTACGAGTCTTCACAGCCAATAGCATCACGGCTTAACTGACAGACGACCAATAACATCGCGACGTAATTGACCAATCAGATCTGAATAACCAGAGTATAATACCATCAACTGACGTGATACAACTCACTTTGACTCTGAAGATGACTACCGCACAGATTGTCGAAACGTCAGTCACTATTCAGGACTACGTTCACCCGGACGATCAAACTCAACCTACTTTTGAAATAATAATAATACCAAAAATAATATCAAACAGGTTTTTCATTAACGTCCTCGGGGTGGGGTTTTTGAAAACGCCGGCTTACCATTATTTTTGTGTGGTACGGACAAAAACTGAGATTTTCAAATACGATAGTGTTGCTGTAAGAGGGAGAGAGGATCTCAGTCTGCTTCTCAGGCGTTGAAAATTTAATGTTGGTTCAACAGAAAGTGGTTTGGTAAAACGTACAGGTCTCTAATGACAGATTTCAAGACTATTTTCCATTTACACAATCACTTGGTTAAAAATATTGAAGTTTTGCCCTAGTTTATAGCTCGAAGTAGTATTTGACTGCTTGAAATTCGCCATGGGTGGATGGCAGATGTTAGAAAACACGACAAGAAATATTCAGTGCGCCAAAGGTTTAACAATACTGTCGCGCAGTAAAAGCGAGGATAGCAATGCACCAATTACAGACGACTCTTGTGATACAACAGCACTGGCTAATCACTCTACGTCATCTCCTGAAATAGAGTAGCAGTAAAACGTCACATGGCGAGACATGTAACCTTGTAAAATAAATAAGAAAAAAAAACGTATGCGGACATGCTACGACGAGGAATAACCACAAAATCCTTGTGAAATGCAGCAGCAAGACGACACAGTGATGTTGTTTACTGATGTCTGTGCCAAGAAAACAACTGGTGTTCGTCACCGCAAGATTTATTATTGTTTGAAATACGTAAGGGCTTGGAATAGCTGTACACAGTAGCGAGAAGCAAGAGATTCCAACCCTCCCGGGTCGATCTGATGTGTTGCCGCCCATCCTCACGATTTTTATCAGATTCTGCAGGTTTTCCATGAAATTCTGAAAACAAGGGAAAAAATTGCTTATCTTGAGTATTTTTTCGGCGATCTGAGTGTAAAACGTTAGGTGTTGCACTGCCACATCCTATACGGCCTCGCCCAGTCTCTCCATTGAACACCGCGTGTTGTGCAGACTCATAAGGCCAGCAGTCTATACGGAAGGTTTAGAGTGTCTGCGACGAAAGTAGAGAGTATAACAGACCCCATACCAGTGTGGCTCCCCACTGAATGCATTTATGCCTTGCGGACACAAAGTTTACAATTATTCATGATTTTCGAAGTGGCCATGGTGGAAAAGCAGTGAAAGAAATCTCCCTGCTTGACTCTGAAAAGATGGATTAACAACAGCAGAAGAAAAGCTTAAAGACATCTGTGATAAGAATAAAGACCTTACAGAATACCACAAAAAAAGATGTCAAAATGGATATGCCGCTTGAGAGAAACTAAATGTGCAAAATTTCCTCGGGGGGCATACCCCAAGACCCCCCAAGAGGCTCACGCCTTCGGCGCTAACAAATACTCCCTATTTTCCTTCAAAAGGGGTTGGAATCTCTGGAAAGGAGGGGGGAAATGAAGAGAGATCAGAAGTGGCAATGAAAACAGTACAGCGACGTTATCATACAAATCAGTGTATTCACAAAGTTGTCATTTCTGTTGTAACCAAACCACTACAAATCTATGTCAATGTTAATGTACACGATGTTAAAACTCATAAAATACAAGTGTTATTTGAGCGCAGATACATGGGTTATTTACAAACGTGGCTCATGAAGAAACTCTTTCTTTGATGAAAGAATGCTTACGTACAATGTTCATGCATTATACTTATAATCCTTTTTTTTCCAAATCTTTTGAGTTCTTTTTGTTATTCCTGTAATATTGCTTAGTGTTCTGTTGACGTCAAACCTTATACACTTTCAGAACACCGTAGTTCAACACGTAGCCTGCGAGCAAGCTTTCCAATGATGGAGGGCGAAGCAAGTCGCGAGGGAACAGCTAAGCCGCCACTCGCTCTCGCGTAACTTCTCGCAACTCTTCCAAATGGAGAGTTAGCTCGCAGGCTATTCAACACGCAACTACGCCTGCGTCAAGAAAGGGCAGCAAAGAATAACTAAACTGGTATCACGATGAATTGATGAATTAAGAGTTAGACTCTTCACAACAGAACAACACCACTCCATGATGGAGCAGTCTCTCTTAACCTGCCAATAATATGTGCAAGTAACTTCACTACGCCAGTACACAAAATTACGAACACCACAATTAAACAGGACTTATTTACAAATAATATCATCAGTGCCCTTTCTTGATAACCAAAGAAAGCAGACAGGGAAACCATTAACCTACTTTCACAAATTTTCATTTTCAAACTCTTTTATCTTTTTGCTAATTTAAGAACTATTCCTTTTCTGGGAGGCCCACCAGAATCACTGCCAGAACCAGGTCCCTGGTCTGTAACGAGCTTGACAGTCCACTCATTCTTTTCGCTGCTGGCGTCAGAAGCTGGACTTGCCAGGGGTGAGCACATGGGGCTACCAGGAGAGGATGCTGAAGGAGAAGCAGGCAATGAAGAAGCAGGTGTCGGCAGTGGTGTTGGAAGCTTGAGCGCTGTAAAATCAGTGTCTGATAGTGGAAAATTTCTTTCTGGCCATGGTGGCACTGGTGGCCAGAGTTCTTCATCAAAAACGGATTTTTCTGATCTATCTGTGGAAGAAGATCTGCGATGTGCAAGCTTGGAGTCTGAAAGTGAGCGATGAAATGAGTGCATGGCTGAAGTGGGTGTGGTAGTGCCAGAAGGGGACAAAGCCGAGGTGGAGGGAGGTGGGGGAGCAGAGACAAGGGTGACAGGCAGTGACCCCCCTGCTGTGGGTGTGATTGTAGGTGTTCCTGGGGGAGTGCCTCCTTGACTGTCTGGATATGTCAGCGGCGATGGTGGATCAGGATTGCTTATTTCACTGCTCTGTCGTGATGTTCGTTTTCTTTTCTTCTTTATAATTCCTAAGAACCGTTTGCGTTCATGCTCTTCACAAAATGCATGCCTAGAGACGTACAACTCATCTGATGTGTCCTCACTGCTGTCCTTTTCACATTGCTCTTCCACCTGGAAAAAATGCACTGGTTATGAATGACCTTACACACGTTTGGACTGAAAACAGTAAAAATCTCTCTACCTATTGCCCAACCTAACAGATAATTTCACAGTTTCCAGGGAAAAGCTAATTCCCTTTTTTGTCAGGCCTTACACACCTCGTAATACTTTTTTTTTTTTTTTCATGTGCTTTGCTCTAAATTCACTCTTGGTTGTTACATAATTATGTTTTAGTTGTTGCTATCATGTGCCGATTATTTCAGATTATATTTTAGTGGAGATTACCAGACTGCAAGAATAAGGTAATAAAATTTTTAAGGACATTATTGGTAGTCCGAGGTAAGTTTCCCAAAACTTACTGTTAATCGCATTTAAATTTGAGGGCCATAAAACGGTTGTGGTACCTTCATTCATACTAACAGCAAACCACAAGAGATATTTCTTTTCACAAGTGAGTAACCACATAATTTAGAAGCAATACGAGATAGTAAGGAAATAGGGTGACAGCACAAGAAAAAAACATTAAACTGCCTGGTTTCAATTAGTGACATCAACCATTCATTGGTGCAACTTTACAAAGCAGTGATTGGTTAAGAGCAATATACCAACCTCCACCTTAACATCATCGACTTCAGCTACATCATTGACTCGCCAACTGGGAGTTGGTATCTCCTTGTATTGAAGTTTCTCAACTCTGGTCGATGAAGCCATGGAGTAAGGAATGACAATGTTGTTAATGTCAAATGCATTGCTTCCTCTCTTCTTCTTTAACAATGAAGATAAACTATTTGGCGGCAAAGACTGGGTCAGGTTTGGCGTAGGGCTAGGAGTGGATGTTGGAGTAGATGGGGTAGAACCCACAGTCGGCAATGACAAACTCCTTGCACGCTTCTGCAGCTGGGCAGCTGAATGAGAATTGAAGTAATAACTTACTTAGTAATGATAAGTCACCTCGCACCACAATGCTTTCTTCAGATAATAATAATATTCTACTATGACAAGGTAATACTTGGTTCTAGCACAACATCTTACAACCAATAGGTGATCAGTAGACAAAAATCACAACAAAAGTATATACAAAACAGGAAAGAGAGCAAAGTGTCTGTTACAAAAATAGTGTTGTACAACATTTTCTCTTCTTCGGGACCAAAGCAATGAGGTGACTGTAAGAACCACCTTGACTAACTCCATACATCTATCCTTTTTGCAATAATTGTTTCAACGCCTTTTTACCCACTGGTGTGCAAACTTAACCTTAAAAATAGGAGATTATGGAAAGATACAAGTAAAGCTCAAGTGTCATCCCCCAGTTAGTTTGGTGATGGAAAACAACTCATTTACATAATTTATAAAAGAAAATACAAAAGGAAATCAATGGTTGTATTTATAACTGATATAGACATGGCAACATTTTAAACTTAATTTTCTTAGCTAAGAACAAATAGATAGGCATCAGAAATTTTTGAAGATGCAAGTATACTCTTAGTTTGTGCATTATCAAGTCTAAAACACTTGGCTACAACTATTTTAAACTTATGCTCTCCTGTTGTTTGTCTACTGTGAAAAGGAAATTTTATGCTAAAATGACTGAAATTATTAGACTACAATATTTAGGATATTGAAACTACTGAAATAAAACGCACACGTTTCAGAGTAAGACAATGATTTTCTCATCCACTTGTCCTTCGGACAAGCACTATATCAAATTCTGTTGTCCGAAACCCAAAACTTCTTGTTCAAAACACTTTGCTCAACACTAAAAACTCACAAACAATCAGGCATGTAATATTTTTAATCGTATTATTAGCCTTGTAAATTGTTTTTGGCTGAAACCTGAATAAATATCATGCACAATCTTTATAGCAGGAATGACTAACATCTTAACAGGCCTGGTTACTAAAGCCAGATGGAGCTCGTAAAAACAAAAGAAATGGCCACAGAATGGCAAAGTTAAAAGGAATATTTAACCTTCTTTCGTCCAGCATGAGGTTTGCTTTTATGACCAATAAGATAAACTATAACTCTACTGGAATTTGAAGTCAATTTTCAACTGTTCTTGTTTTTTTTCTCATTAAAAATGAGCTTGTCTCCCGGACAAGTCATGTCAAAGGTTTACATGTCCGAACTAAATTTCTACCTGTCCCTGTCAACTGGACATAGGTTTTGGTGCACCGTGAAGTTTCTCTAATTGCATTCTTAAGGTCTCTCTTGCTAACTCCAGATTTTTTCAGGCTTTTACTGCACTGGCTGTTTTAATTATTGATATCTGTTTTCTTACCAGCACTTATGGCTGCGGCTCGCTTCTTCCTTGGACCATCAGACTGACCAACCCTGTTTTCAGCAGAACTTCTTGATGAAATCTTTGGAGTGGACGTTACAGAGTAGTTTCGTTTTCTCTCATACTTTTGATTGTGATGTTCTGTGGTGGGAAAAAATTATAGAAAAAAATTCAAACCTCAAAACTGCAAGGAAATCTCGAAAGTGGGACTGAAACTTTTCATTGACTGAAAAAACGTATCCAACCACAAAGCAATGAAGTCCCCCAAGATTAAGAAAATGTCAAATATGCCTCTGAAACAATAAGCTGTAATAATATTATAATGACCTGTAATTAAAATTCAAAGACAAGGAATATTTAAATAACAAGGAAGTAAATGTATTTAAATTCAAGACAGCTGAATAGACTTCAAAGATAGCTTAGAAAGTTTGTGCACTTACTTGCAGAGGACAATAAAGAAGCAGCAGCCCCTTTGGCCAGCTGTGAACGCCTTTTTCCTGCTTTAGCTACCACAGGTGGTTTCCTGTGTTAATTGAAATATTACGAATATTAATTTCAACCATGATAAAAACCTAGGCAAGCCAGCCTCTAGTAAGAGACCTGATAACAATAATTGCTTCTATCAGGGACACTAGCAATCTATAGTTGGCGAGTAAGAAAGTACAGCAGATCTATGGTCCAATGGTCAGCATTTGTTTCAAGCCTTCTGATATCCATTTTTAAGACAATGACGTTGTTACCATAACAAATTACCATAACAGATTGGCTTCTTTTTATAGCAAACACGGTGGAGGTAAATAACTAGACTTTTTCCTGATCTGCTGACTAAATATCACATAAAAAAATCAACTTAGGAAATTGAAAAATGAGGCAAACATTAACTTCAAAGCTGTTTTGAAAGGTGAGTAAACAATAGCACTATTTTAAGCGATGACAGCCATCTTTATGCTAATCTGCTGGTGTCTGTATAAATGAAAGTCTCATGACTGGATTTCAATCATAAATAAAATGTTAGAGACAAAACAATAGTTATATGGCACTCACAATTTGAATGACAACAGTCCTTATAGACTTTAACAGTCAGTAAAAGATTGAAAGAACAACTTTGTGTAAAATGAAGTTGGAGGAAAAGGGTGGAGTGCAAAAATGCTTGAGGAACAATTCTACTGCAGATTCTATCTATAATAATGTGCAAAAGGGGAAGACAACAACTAAAATGTCCATTGAAATTGTGTTTTATCTGTTACTTGAAACAAACTTTTATGCATACGAGCATATTAAGTAGGCTTGATTTAATTAACTGGTTGCAACAAGTACTTCACAGCCAAGACTAGACAACATGGTTCAGATAGCATAGCATTTTTTCTTTTCCAAACTACACAAGGTGTAAAAACGGCAAAACACAAATCAAAACAAAATAAGTGGGAGGGGAAAGGGGAGAGGATGGGGAACTCCCATTCCTAAGTGCCCCAACAATTAATTAAAATTTGCTGCCCAGTAAACTGGTACAGGTTTAAACTCATCCTCATTTTATATTTTAAGCCACAAAACAGGCCCAACACATGCTATAAATTAATGTTTGTTTGTTTAGCTATTAATAAAAACAAATATGGAACTTCTCTTGTTGACCTAAACGAGTGAATAAGTGAAACAATTTAACTCATTCATCCCTGAACTGCCCGTAACCGCCTGTGCAGATCCACATCCCTTCTACCACTTGTAAGGTCATCAGTTTTAAAGGTCAATGACAACTTTGTCCCCTTAATTGTGCAGAGTGAAAAAATCTTTCAAACCATACCAGAATGAGCACTATTCAGTCAAGGACACCGGAGAAAAAGGCAAAAAAAATGTAACATTGACCTGAAAACTTCCATGAAAATCTTGTTCTCCTACCCACCTACCTTTCCTATCATCTAATCCTAAGATCCTAAAATCTTTACTTAAAACGTTTCCCACCAAAATGAAGCCTACTAAATGGACAGCAGAAGGAAAAAAAATGAGACAAGAGAAGCGAAAAAAGATGGGCGGAGAGAAAGCAAAAAGTAAAAGTAAAGACTGTTGCATCACTTTTAAACCCCAAAACTTTAAATACATTTCGCTGTCTGCACATGCCTGAACTTTGCAAGCTAATAGTTTGTATCTGGATCAGAAGGCTGCAGAGTGCACGACCTGTAAATGGCTTTATGGCAAGTTTTAGTTCTTCATAGCACGACAGTGGCCAGAAAACTGCTCGACTTGCGTCACAACGCAAATTTCCAGGGGCAAATGAGTTAAAAAACTAGGTACAAATACACAAAAAAACTGGGGACAAATTGAATAGGTTTCGAAAGGACTGTAAACCGGTTGTAGTAAGGAGACGTTAAACTTACTTCTTTTCCACAACTTGAGAAGCAGCCTTCAACGTCTGTGGTTTGGTCCTCTTCTCAAAGCCACCCCTCTTTAATAACGCTCCAAAATGCAACTGAAGAGGGATGTCTGAAAACACACCAACAATAGTGTTATGACACTACTCAGTGTTACTATTCCTAATCTACAGGTGTTGAGAGTAGAAATATTTTGTTTTCTTAGAAACAAAAGTTCATGTTTCATTTGGTTGTTGAGGCTGTGGTAATTGGTGTGATTCCTAACAATTTGTTTGCGACAATTTAACACCACTCTCAAACATAAGCCAAAGGATTGTACTTTTTTCTTTTCATCTTGGACGATTCTCTAAAGGTTTGGTGAAAATGATGTTGGAAATATAGACAATTCAAAATGATAGTTTTAAGTAACTGTATAAAGGCAATCCCTAGCTCTTGTAAGGGATGTCACTAAGAGCCAACTGCCAGTTAATTTGACTGGAAAAAAGAACTTACCACTGGCTCAATGGGGAAAGTTTGAAGGTGCAGTTGAGTAAAAAAGCCAGCTTGACTAATAAAAAAGCCTGCTTAGCTTTTCCATAGCTAAACCCTACCTTGTTACTATAGCAAAGGTTGATTACTACCAAAGCAGGAAAATTTAAAAGGCAAATCACAGATTTGAAGTTTTACAGAGTCATTAGACATCAGTCTGTCTCCAGGATGGGTACAAGACCCTCTGGGTTCTAGGATCATAATAACAAATAATACCCAATAAATTGTAAAAACCATGGTTTACCTGTACAGAATGAGAGCACTGGATGGAAAGAGGCATCCAGGGAGGCAACTTTTTCTGGCGTAGTCTGACTGGGCCTAACCACTGGTAATGTTCTTGAAGACTTTGAACAAATCAAACAAGGAGTTGTTGGGGTAACACATCCACAGAGCAGTGAAAGTGGTTTGGGCTTGTTATGACGAATGTGAGATAAATGTACCAGACGACGTTTCCTGATCATATACACTCCTCTAGTTCTAGCGCATTGAGGAAAAACATCATTTGAAGTGGATGGCAAAAAAAGCTTATTGTCTGTTGAATCATTTGCTCCAAGGGCTGTTCGATATCGCTTCGTTGGCACATCCTCACTGTTCAATAAAGAACTGTCAAGCAGGCCTCGCTTAACCCCATTTAACAAGTGATTCTCTGAATCCCTGATTGAATCTTTCTTATTTAAGTCTGTTAGGTGTTTAGAGTTGTTAATATCCAGGGAAGGTACTGACAGTGCATTGTCTCTTAATCCCTTTACAATACCATTTCCATCAATGTCAGTAGCACTTCTCACTAAGCTCACATTCGGGGTGCAAGCTTGAAGTTTTACTGTTCCCTTTCTCAATCTTCCTCCTTTATAAAGATCATCATATCGTCGGATCTGACGTTCCAAATTTATGATTTGGGACTGCAGCCAAGACCAGTGGGATGCAATTACTCCTTCTTCCAGTCGAAACTGCGTCCTTAAAACTTTAACACTACAAGAAAAGCAAAAGTGATCAACCATCTTGATAACAAATATCTAGATCTGCTCCAACTAACCATCAATTTCTTAAAGGTTACCTATGAACATTCAAGTTAATTATATCAAGCAAGTCCTTTGTGTAAGTTTAACACGTACAATACCACAAAAGTACCACTTAATTCAATATCATATTCTAGACTACAAGTCAAAGAATCACACTTTGAGAAAAATAATAAAATAACTCGCACAAAAATATTTTTAGAACACAAGGTATCGATCATTAAAAAAGATGATTAATGATAGTAATTATTACTATTACTTTTTTATATTATACCATGACAAAACACTATACATCTTAGAAGAAGAGTTGGAATTTCCCTGCCATTAATAGCACATTCACACAATACTCAACAACACGGTTGACCGGTGAATTGAGACCGTTCTGTCGTGGATAGCTAATGATGCTTCATATTATAGAGAATTTAAGCTATTGTTGCCCTGAAAAGTTATTCAACATAAATCACAAAACTAAGGTGTGAATTGTTACAACTTAAGCGTGTACAAGGCAACAAATTTCTTGCAAATATTTAAAACAATTTCAATACAAAGACAGGGATGGCAAATATACGTGATATTTCAATATAAACTCTCCAACTCAAATGGTTTAAAGTTGTAAAAAGTAAGACTGGACACTACTTTACAAGTTTAAATCTCCTGGTAGATCAAAAATACTTAAAACATAAATAATTTATTTTTCTGTCATATAAACCAAGACTTCAAATATTTACCAGGTACAAAGGAATGATTCCATGATAAAAGGTGTAATACAATTTTACGACAAGCAAAAACGACAAATCAACAATTTCACATTTAAGAAATACATATTGCCTGACGGGTTAATGCGGCTTCAAGAGAATAAAAAGCCTACATTTATGAGACAGATGACAATGAAAAGGAGTTTAAGAAAACTACATTCTTAAAAATTTAAATTTCCTTTTTTAGCATTCACGACATATATGCAAATTCCCTCAGCACAGGACAGAAAATTGAAAATAAACAAACTTGTAGCAAGAAACAAAAAATAAGGTTTCCTTCTTGCCACATTCAAATCGATCTAGCTAGCAGCGCCGGTCAACTGAGTCGGTTTTGAACATCTCAATGGCAGAACTCCCAAAACACTAAATGAATATGAAATGCCAAGTCTGGGAAATTAAATTGGCCCAACTATCGCCCGACATCACAACAACATATAATCCCCAACACGGAAAAATACTAAACCAATGGTTTACTCGTTGTGATCATTTTACTCAGGCTATGTTATATAACCTAGAGGTTTAAAAATGCAAGTAGTGGAAATAAAAACATTGGTATTCCGCGTTTCAACATCGATGGTATTTTGTTCGTGTTTCACTCTTGTAAATTTAGCGCGAGGGAAATTTAAAATGTCAACCACATCTTGCACAAATTTAACACACACATCGAATTTTGAGAAAGAAAAATCCCTTTCGTATATAAAGTTTAAATGAAAACTGAACAAAGCCGCAGATATGTCATTCAAAATTTCATAAATACGCCACCAATCCAATGAATAAGAAAAGAAGAGAGTATTTCGTGGGAGTCGATGAAAGACTCAGCTCCCACGATCAATTAGCAAAATGATAAAATTTTATTTCTCTTTCGCATCAAGCACAAACTTACGTCAGGGTGAACAAATCTCTACTCACCGTTTGCTGCGTAGTTTCGTTTTCCTCGATTCTCCTTCATCTTCGCTTTCTTCCCCGGAACTCGCTTCAGTCGCGTCCGAATCATCCATGCTCTCCAAAAATTCGCATTGTGAACTCCAACTTTCCACAGAACTAACAGCCTTCGATTTTTTACCAAATTGTTTGAAATCCACTAAAACGTTTCCTTCGTCAGAGCCAAATGACTCAGCAGAAATCCGCTCCAGTTCTTTTATTGCGATGTCCACCGTCGTTGCGTTGTTGTTCTTCATCCGACTTGCAAAATTTCCAGGCATCGGCGGTTTGTTATGAAGTCGATCTCCCTTCAGTTCCGGACAAATATTTGACACGCTTTTACTTTCGGGAATACCTTTTACTCCTAAATTTCCACCTGGTTCGAGATTAGTTGAAGAGGAATCGCGAGTTACACAACGCTTTTCCGCCAAATTTTCCAATTGTTGAAGCACATGGTCACCAAGTTGCCGCGCTTGTAGTTTGCGAAGGCGCGTCTCAATTTTTCTCGCCCTTCCTTCAAGCTTTGCCTGACGTCGAAAGGCTTGTGAAGTTCTTTGAGAAATTAAGGCCTTTCCAGAATCAAAATTTGCCACTGGATGCTGCGAAACTCGATTACTCTCTTCCTTTTCGCAAACAGTATTACATGTACCAGCCGAAGTCTTCGCCGTTGAAGCACATGTGGCTCGTGAAAGATCAGGGGACGAGTTTCGCTTTTCTTCTCTGTCAGAAGAGTTACTCGACGGCTTTGTCGCGGCACTTTTTTCCAGGCTATCATCACAATGTCCGTTTGGCATTTCAATTTTGCCTTTAATTTCTTCGCTGAGTCGTGAAACTATGGGTGTGTTCTGCGCCGAGGGCTTGATAGTATTTGTAATGTCTGCAATGTTATTGTCACTTATCAATCGTACAAGACCGTTCTGTGAAACTAGCTTCAAATCCAAAGCAAGCCCAGCACTTTCTTGCTTAAGTTCCTCTTGTACAGTTGATGAACAGTGACGATCCACAGAATTCTTTCCCGAGGACTCCGGAGACGCGCTCGCCTCGGTCAGAGCGGGAGCCATTTGAGCCATCTACCATACTTCACTTCACAATGACTGCCGATGGCAACGAGACCCCGTTGAAAGCATTTTCGCGTTTGCTTACAACAGGAAAATAAAACATAAATATAAAATAAAGAGTAAAAATCACTCCAAAATACAAAGTTTTCGAAGTTCATTCAAGGGGAGTAGAGAAACGTTTTTCAGCGCGCTGAGCACGTGACCGCCACGTCTTGGTGGTGCGTGTTCTAATCTCGCAAAAGAACACACCAACCTTGATATATGCAAAAACGCTAAATTTTCGTCTTCGATTTTCCACGTTGAATCACTTTCAACACCACGTAAAAACACCGAAGAGTAAAGATGGAAGTGTTTGAAACCTTCTGAATGGTTTTTGAATCTCTTTCACTTTGAAATATGCCCCCTTTGAAGCAAGTTTGAAATCCTTTCCCGCTTATCAAAATGGCGGCACAAGAATCCACTTCAAGCTTCTTGTATCAGCAGAACCCTCGTGCAAATATCAAACGCTCTAGGCGATTGCATCAATTCTCAGGGTACCCTCCCTGATATATTGCGTGATTGGTCAAAAGAACAATAACTGTCATCAGCAGAGATAGCAAGCTGCAGAGAATTGAGGTTTTCATCACTTCAAACCAGAGCTTCGGATTTCCTGTGCGCGTTTGGAACACACCTCCTTCGCGAGAGACATCGCGTTCGGAGTGAAAATATTCCTCGATGGCAACCCTGGAAAAAAGGGAGGAAAAAGAAAACTTAATTATGGCGAAAACAAGTATTACTATGTGAGTCTATTACGAAGCATTAATATAGGAACTCGGGAGAATTTTGCACCATCCTGAAAATTAGAGTTAACAATGTACAAGAAGCCGATATCACCACCTGGGACGATTTTTTGTTTTATAAAAAGGTTGGATGCTCCAAAATTTGAAGAATTACTTCCGACAGAGGCGTAAAACAAAAGCAATTTTTCCTCTTAGAATTAATTCACTGAAACTGGTGAAATGTAGAGGTGAGATCTCATGATAAACACCGGTTCATCCCGCGGCTACAACGCGTACGAGCAACTCCGTTCGAGCTTGTGTGAAAGGGCAGGATTTCATATTTCCGTTTGAAATTAAATAAAGGAACTGTTGCTGTCTATTGGTAACCTAGTTTTAAACTCAAATTGTCCAAAAGAAGTCCTATTTTCACTGAAGTAACAATTTTTTTCATGATTTGCATAGTTGAGGAGAAAACCGGAAGTGACACAGCAAGCAACATGTTTTCAGTACGGGCGAAATACACCAAAATTGAAATGTCAAATGCTGACTAGTGTCTGGAAAGGAATTAAAATTAAAAATGCTTATTTTGTTCTCAATAAAAATACATACATCTGGTTTTTTATCCGAAAGATGGACAAATATTGTTACATGCAAAGCGAGCAGTTTTATGCTATTCCAGCGGAAATAAGCAATGGCAAGCTAGGTATTTTAAGCATTTCACTTCCCACTAAGTGCCTCTCTTCTAGTCATGACTAAAAGAAAACTAGGAAAAATATTTCAATAGTGAAAAGTTTTCAAATTCCAACGTAAACAACTTCTAACGTATCAGCTTATCAAAATGCAAAAAAATTGCTGTTAATTTTTCGGTAATTGTACTGTATTTAGTCTATTAAAATAGGTACGGAACAATAATATTGAAAGAAAAATTCTACCCTAAAGAAATTCAGTCAAAATCAGTCCAGGTATGTGTAACTAATTCACAGCTGAACCGCCATTGCATATCCTAGAACCTTGTAACAAATTAATGTGATGTCATCAGTTTTACAGTCATTGACAACTTTGACACCTGCCTTATGAACGGAGAGATGTTTACTATGCATACACAAAGAGAAGAGATGCCACAAAAAAGAAACAATGACCAGAAAATTTCAATGACAAATCTTTTTCAACTTCTACCACTCATACTTCCTTTCAAATAATAATTATGTCATGATCCTTGGGCTTTTTGCAGTCATCAAAGGTAAAAGCACAGGAGCAAGATGGACATGGTACAAAACATATTAGTTGAGGGGGTAGCTATCTTGAATTTTTGTCTTCTGCACATGCCCAAACTTTTGAAGCTGCAATTTAGCATCAGGAACAGGACGCAGTGGAGTGCTTTATAAACACAATAGAATGTTTTGGGAAATTTTGGTTCTTTTTGACCACCCAATGACCACAAAATAGCTGAACTAGCTTTAAATTGATGAGGCTTTTTCAGAAAAATTTCCATGCATGAGCAAATTGGTTTTCAAATGTTAAAAAGAGTATCTCACATTCAGCCCCTCAAAATAAAAAATAAAAAATATAAGACTTAATTACAAATCATGGTTATCCAAACATAGCTGAATATTATAGCAGAACAGTCAAGCAAGTTTGTTATCGTTGTTTTTTTAAATTGCTTTTTTTGTCATCTACCCCAGAACTTTTAAATTTGAAACACAGCAAAGTTTAGCCATAATATGAGTGTGCAAAATTGTGTTGTGTCCTGTTCTCATACTTCTCTTCCATCAAGACATCTCTTGAACATTAAGTCAATCATTTCCTTTTATTAATTTGTCCTAATCACCTAATTGGTATAATAAAACTGTTGTAAAAAATAAACTAGTACGGCCTCAAACCAGGCAGATGATTCACATTAAAAGTCCCAAAGGTGCAAAGTTCGATGTCTAAAATATCCAAATAGGCTATAAATTTTTTTCATCACATGCTTTACTAAGTTGCTATAGAGTTTTTATGTAGTTTGTCATCAGGATTCTGTATTCAATTAAAGGGTGTCAATAGGTTAACTTTCTAGCCTACAATGAGGAATTTTTCTGTCATAAACTGTATACTTAATGAATTAGTAGTTGCTGACTAGTGTATACAGGAAAGTTGGCTTTTTTCAGTGTATATGATTTATAGATGTCAAATTTTGAAAACTTTCAGCAAGAAAAGGAATTATTTGTAAACGAATAATAATTTTAGTCAACTCTCAAATATTATTTGTTTGTTGCATTTTTCCATTTTGTTGCATGACTGTTGCATGATATTGTTAGGCTGTTAGTCTGTGTTGTACTTGGTTGTAACTTAGACATTCTAGTCTGCATCTCTAGAGGCTTAAATACCACAGATGATACAGTAGTACATTCTAATAATTAATTAATCAATTTAACTTAAGAAGTGTTAATGGTAATCCGCTGAGATTTTTTCATCATCAATCATCAGAAATAATATTGGAATGAACCAATCAATAGTAAAGTCACTCATTATTGGAAAATCTTTTTATAAGAATTCTCTTTAATTTTTTATCTGCGTGAAAATCAAAGTAATACAGTGGAACCGGGTTAATATGGACACCAAGGGAACATGATATACTGCCCATATCATCTGGGTGTCCATATTAAGTGGGCTTTATTGATGAAGAGACTTAAACAGACATTTTAATGAAAAAAATATTGTTTAATTTCTTCGCAGTTACTGTATGAATTTCATTCTAAAGAAACGTCACAATCAGTCAGTCAGGGTGTCATCCTCAGAGGCCCAGGGAATGTCAGTTGGGTCAGGATACATGGTGGCAGAAGTTTTCAAGAACAGACAAGAGAGCTTCTAGGATGCTACTCTTAACAAACCAGTTCCACGACTCATTCAAATGCTTGATATTTTTATGCCCAGTCGGAGGCCAGCATCTATTGCGCTGCTTTCATTCAATCCTCTTGGGTGACTGACGAGAAATATTTAAACTTTAAAGAGTGAAGAATTATCTCTTGAACATGCCTGTCAAGTATGCTGAGTAGGCGATCTTTTAATAACTTAAATTGATAGGTAGAGTAAGATAAAATCATTATGCCTGTGTCTAGTTTTGAAAGCTCTCCTGCACGAGCCAGACGGGTACAGTGAAAGTCAAGTTTGCAGGCAAACTCCTTTGTATAAGAGGATCAAGAAAGCAGCATGATAGATCCTGGCCTCCAAGAGACAAGTATTCGAATGAGTCATGGAACTGGTTTGTTTAGAGTAGCATCCCAGGAGCTCTCTCACTCATTCTTGAAAACTTTCGCAACCATTTATCCCGATCTGACTGACCACCCCTGGGTCTCCAAGGATGTCAAGGTGTCAGACTAAGACTACCTTTCAACTATTCTTCTTGAAAAACAACAATGGAATCTGCTACATTTATTTGTACTGATGCTTTTAGTTTGTGACTTAGCCAGGTGGACTGAACATTAGACATGACGTGACAAAACTTTTTGCTGTTTCTGTTAAGTTTTTAGTGGTAAGATATTCAGTCACAGACAGTGTGTAGATAAACTGTGTCCGTAAAGTGGGGTTAACAATATACGTGAGTTTTTTGACTCAGGACACAGAAAAGTTTCCATTGTCATATTAACCAGTGTCCGTATTAAAGAAGGTTAATTTTAGAGAAAACATTGGAACAGACAGTTTCGTTTGTCTCAAAGAAAAGCTACATATGGGTGTCTGTAGAAAGTGGGTCCACTGTTTTTTTTTGTTTTTATTTCATTAATGAGTGCTTTTCCTTGCTGTAACGATAAATAATTTTTTAAAAAACTTACGGTAAAAATAGATGATCAGCAAACCAGTACTGACTTGAAATTTCAAATTTACCACTAGTTTAAGAATTTATCACAATTTATTTAGAAAAATTTGGCACAATTTACACCAAAAAAAAAAAAAAGGAAAACACAAAACACAAGGTGGACATGAGACCTATAGCTATGACTTTCTTGGAAAAACTGCAAACGTCCAAAGATCTGATCAACTATGGACTTTCTACAACAATTAGGCTGTTTGAGCAAAGAGGCCTAGATTTTTCATAAGTGCCACTTTTATTTTCAGCTGACTGGCTGTGAAATTTTACTCAGACTTATGACAAATGTTATAGTAAAATTTCAAAGACTGAAATAAAATTTTTACTTTGAATTAATGATTTCACAGAAAATTATCTATTGCAAGAGCGAATTTTTCCCTAACCCCACCCCCACGGTTTCTTTTGTCACG